CGCGCCTTCTCCGCCGCAGCCGGGGTGGGAGGGGACGGCGGGTTCCGGGAAGCTCCCGGCGGCTTCGGTCGGTCTCCCCGCCGCCCGCTGGGCCTGTCGCTTTGCGGCGCCCGCCGGGGGCCTTGTCCCGTGGCCGGGATGACTTCCTGCCGGGTGTGGGTGCGGAGCGGCAGGCCGGCCTTCTGTAGGCACTGCGCGAGGGCAGGCCGAGCTCTAAGGCCTTTGCCACACCGGCCTGGCCCGAGACCCGTTGCTCTAAGGACCTCTCAGCCCCTGGCACTTCCTAAATACGTAGTTTGTGCCTCCTAAATAGTTCACTGCATTAAGGAACTAATGGATCTGCTCAGCCTCTCCTCCATGCCCTTCGGGGCACCTAGTGCTGGTCTTTCATCTCTTGGACCCCTGTCTCTTCTGTCAGTGGTCCTCGAAGTGTAGCTCACATGCCAGTCCCAGCACCAACTGGGACATCCTTACAAACACAGATTTTTCTGGCCACGCTCCAGATCTACCCAGTCTGAAACTCTAACACCGGGTTCCAGGTCTGGGATCAGTAACCCGCGGTTTAACGCGCCCCTCAGTTGTCTACGGCGGCGCGTGTCAAAGGTGGAGAGCCACTTGCTTGGTCCTCAGAGCAGGCCTGCTAGCTACCAGAAATCATATGCTCATGCGATTTTACAGATGAGGCAATGGAGGCCTAAGACACTGTGTCCTGCTATGCTATAGAAGAGTCGGCGTCCAGTTTTCTTTCATTCTCGACAATTATTTCTTGAAAAGAAAAATTCCTTTTCTGCCTGCTAGTGCCAGGTGTGTCTGTCTACCTGCTAGAGAGACCTGGGGACAAGAGGACATTTCTGCCTTCCTGGGGCTGACAGTGGAAGAGACAGGCTGAGAATGCACAGTCATTTACTTAACTTGACAGGGAGATGAGTGCTATGGAGACAGGAGAACACAAACCCAGGGAAATGGGGTAGAAGGTAAGATTTTGTTTTATCACGAAATAAATGTCCCTGACAGCGTATCCTTTGCAGAGACCTGGAGGAAGTAAGGAAGCATTTGGGGAAGGAGCCATCCAGGGAGAGGAACGAGGCAGGTTCTCAAGAGTCACTCTGCCCCCCAAATAGCTCAGATTGCGCCACCTGCCATGGCAGTAACATTCACACTCCATAGGATGGGGTAACTGGTTTCCGTAGACTGTGAGCTGCGGCCCCAAAAGGCCAGACACACACTTGATGGACAGTGCCTGACTGTTACACGACCAAGTCGCATCTGTGCAGGATTATTATAGAGCAAGAGTTGGTGAGGGCACAAGGAAGGCTGAGTCATGGCTTTGGCAGATCAGAGCAGTTAAGGATGCCCTGAGGATCTCGCTGGCAGGGCTGGAAGCAAAAGTGTTCCAGGTAAAATGTACAAGTGGAGAAAAGCCTGGAAAGTCCCCGGGGCTCAGATTGCAAAGGGCTTTGGTACCAGGTTAAAGACTGTGGAGTTTATTCTTTGAGCATGAACCATGGGATGTGAGCTGTGGGACACGCTGGAGCAGGCGAGCTGCAGGGCTGGTGCTAGCCACTGAGTGCAGTATCCGAGGGGGGACCCTCACTCCCAGGTTTGGCTGCATTAACAACCGTGAGGATGAGATTCCTTTGAAAGGTCTCATGAAGACATTTGTTTCCCTGGAAATTTCCAGTAATTGTACCTTTGTTTGATTCTCTTTATTCAAATGTCTTTTATTTTTACTAACTAGTTCTTTAGTCATGAAAAGTACAGCAGTGTCTCGGTTCATGAGTGCTTTTGTTTGCAAATAGGAGTGTTTGGCAAAATTTTGTTTTTGTTTCTAGACTCTGCATCAGGTAACAAACACTGCCATGGCCCTCTATCTCACCCAAACACAAACAAGGCAGTCTTCCCCAAAATCATAACACAAATTAAGTTCGTGAACTGAGGTACCAATGCGTTATAAAGCAGGGTGTGTAGCTTAATGCTCAGTGGTACAGTCCTTGCCTAGCATGTATAAGGCCCTGGATCTGATTCCCAGCACTGAGAGAAAAGAGAAGGGAAGGGAAGAGGACGGGAGGGGAGGGGAGGGGAAGAGAAAAGAATCCCAAAAGTACACTATCACTCTCCCAGTCCTATTCCTACGTAGGTAACCAGTATTCACATTTATCTTTCCAGAAACATTTCATGCATATAAAAATATGTGTGTACACACATGTAGGCACTGATAATAGCATCTTGATTGGAAGCAGCAGAAATCAACCCTCCAGATTATTTAAACAGAAAGACGATTTAATATAAGCTTCCTCCATAGTTAACAGATCCCACAGGGGCCCACATTTTGGAAACCCCAAGCCAGGGCCCATGCCCCCAAACTGTGCCATAGCTGCATACTGTATAGAGATGGATGACTCTATTCAGGCTCTTTTTGGCGTCTCTGGCTTCAGATTCAGAGCCTGAGGTGGGAGTGTCTGATTGGCCCAGCCTCCAGCACATGCTGTGCCTGACAGAAAGGGATGCTGGGAAAGCAAGTTTCTGGCATTTTCAGCATCAATAGTGGAGGTAGGCGCTGCCCCAGGAGGGGGGTACTCCCCATTGTAAGAAGTGATTCAGATGTTCTGCGAAAAAAGATAACAAATATCTACTGCAAAATGTCCCTTCTAGACATATTATTTTTCTTGGGGAGTCCCCCACCCGCCTTCCTCCCCTGGTCCTATGGATTAGTGATTAGTCCATGTTTAAGCGCATCCTGATTAGCTGCAGCCCAGGTTGTTTGCTGAAGTGGCTGGGAATGAGGCCCTTTCTAGCAAGGTCACCCACTGTCAGGATGTCAGGATCTCGTAACCCTAACTCAAAGATAGTCTGACTGCTAATGAGGCCACCACGAAAGAAAGCAGATCCAAGTGATAGAGATCAAGTGGAAAAAACCTCCCACCTCTTTCTGTTAGGTTTATTTTGAGCAAAGCTGTCATCCCTTGTAATCCAAGCCTTAACAGAAGCATCATTTACTTTTTAAATGACTGGGTTCCTATTTACTCTTTTAAATGAATGGGTTCATAGGATGCATGCTATTTTGAATCTCGCCTGGTTTTTGTTCGGTTTAGCAAATGTCTTGGACATCTTTCCCTGTAGGTGAATGAACATCAGCTGCATCCTTTTCAATGGTTGCATATAACATCACTCAACAGATATACCATAATTTATTCAGTCATTTTAAATGATGCAAAATTGGCTTGTTTCCAGTATTCTGCTGTTATATATATATAAAAAAAAAAAACCTTGCATTGAATAGCACTTATGGCAGTCATGTTCCTAGCAGGCACATTTAGCTGGGGAACTGATGATAGTTTACTAAAGGGGTTTTTACACAAGTGTAGATGGGTTACTAAGAGCTATAGGACTGGTACAGTCTCTAGGGCTGGCAACATTAAGGAGCCATTAGCATCCCAGGTCTGAAGGAGGAGACAGCAATACTGGAATTCCAAAGGGAGAAAACTGCAGAGAGCTACAATAGGAACTGTGGCATTTGGTAGAGGGACACAGCCAATCCACATCAACTCAGTAAGAGGGTAATCCCCAGAGGAATAAAATCCTCTGACTTTCTTCTCTTTTGAACTGTCATCTCTTGCCATCCTTCCTTATTGGAAGTCCAAAAGGAAGCCAGAGGCTACAAGCCGGCAGTACAGGCCCCGTAAGTCAGCTTCCCAAGGTACAGAGCCTAGTGGAAGACAGAGAGGAGCAAATATGTGCACATCTGTAATCCTAGTACTTGGGAGGTAGGAGGAGCCATGAGTCTGAGGTCAGCCTAAAATACATAGTGAGTCATGGCCAGCCTGAACTACATAGTGAGACCCTGTCTTGAGGGAGAGGGGGCAAACGGAAGATGTCTAGCACCTTATTTCTCTGTATGTGGTCCATGAGGCAGCAGCATTAGTAGCTCCTGGAATCCTATTAGGAGTACATATCTTGGACCCACTCTAGTGCTACTGAATGAGAATCTGCAGTTCAACATGATCCCCAGATGATTCTGGTGCATATTAAAGTTTGAGCTCATAAATTTCTTATGCAAGTGTATCTATAGTCTTATTATTTATGAACTCTCTTCTAGCATTTCTTTTCATTGACCCCTATGTTGATTTGGGTCCTCTGAAAATCAGATGTCTAGATTTTTGGAGTGGGTTTTTTAGGGAGGGACTATTTTCTGAGAAAAATATCTGTGAAAGATCAAGCTGAAGGTGGAGGAGAAGGAAAAGGGAACCTCAGATCATGATGCGGTCAGATGCCTGAGGAAGGAAAGGGGAAAGTGAGGTGCTTTAGCCCACGACACTGTTTTGAGAGAGTTTTGGCCAGGCCTACAGGAGTCCTTAAGGCTGTCTGCCCAGATGGCATGCATCCACTATGCAGGTCACTGATGGGAGGAGCTAGAGCACATCAAAAAGGTTTTGGAGGCAAAGAAGCTAGAAGCTGTCTAGCAGATTCTCTTGAAGGGTAACCTGAGCAGGGCATCGGCATCACTAACACAGTCACCATTTGACTACCATTTATGGACTGCTTTTTATGTGCCAGGTTTTA